GGCGGGAAATTCTTTCCACCAACTTTTTATTAGTATTTTTTTTTTCTCAATAAACTTAATATTTGTTCTTTTGGAGTAAAACTAAAAAAAAAAAAATTGAAGTTAAAAAAAATTTAAAGTTAAGTTATAACATTTTTTAAGTACATGTTCGTTTGTAAAATTTGAGTTTGATTTTGAGTTTAGGATTAAAATTTGAGTTCAAGTTTCTCTTTTAACTCAAGTTCTTAAACTTAAACTCAAGTTAATGAATAATATTTTTTTTATTCTTAAAAACGTCATAACTTTTTCGTTTTAATTCCGATTGAGATTATTTTTTTCTGTGCATTTACAATGAAGAGACGAATAAAATCTCATCCACATATCCTATTAAAATTTTTCATCACCATTGAATTTTTTATTAAAATACTATCTAAATACAAATTTAAATTTTGACTTACTCAAATACAAACTCAAATAGATTTTTAATTTAAATTATAATTCAAATATGCACATTAAAATACAAACTTAAATTATAATTTTAATAATTTAACTTAAAAATTATACTTAAATTATCATAACTTAAAAATATAACCGAACAAATTTTTAATTTTTATTAGCTAGATAGCTAGTATCGTTCTGTTTGTTTGCACGTAACGCATGCCACCAAACTTGTGTGCCAAAGTGTGTTTGTCAGTTTTGGGTATTATATATTGACCTGGCGCGCAGGGAAATGAGAAAGTAAAGGCTAGAGATACACTAGCTAGCTGTAGAATCAGCTGTGAGTACGAGAGAATCTTGAATTTGACTTTCAGTTTTGGGAACATCGTTTTTTCCAAACTGGGGGTTCACTCGATTGGCCTTAAAAACATTTTTTAAAAAATGCTTATGTAATTCTTTGAAGTGTTAGCACCAATTCTTATCCCAAATGTTTATATCAATTTGACTTAATATTTTTATTAGTAAATATAATAATTTTATTATTAATTAACGTGATAATTTTTTAAACAATCATTAAAAAAAGAGTTTTTTTTAGTAATTTACTTTACCAATAGTCACAGTTTTTTATCATTAAATTTAATCAAAATTACATCATATTAAAAAAATATAAAAAAATGGATTCTAATATGTATCTTATTGCTGAAAAATAAAAAACTAGTGTTAATTTATTTTTACAAGAATTATAAAAAAAAAGTCCCTAAAAAAATGATCCTTAATAACTATGGCCTTATGCTTTTGTGTTTGTACTCAATTTAAAAGCCATATGATTAGACTTTATACTCGATTGACTAGTTTGGATATCGTTGCTTGCTCACGATATAGACTAATTTTACATTAAACAACTTGTATCTTCTTACTCCCTCGAAGAAAATCATGTACTTTTTTAGCTTCTTAAGAAAATACAATTGCAAATCAACTTTTCTTCTTCTTGTTGCGAATCAACTTTCTCTAACACACGGCTTAATTAATTTAATTAGTTCTGGCAGCCAAAATAGTTTAACTGACAAAACCACAGAGTGAGTTTGTATTACTGTGTTGTTGAAGTTTTTATTATTATACTGTTTCTTGAATTATTATTTTTATGTCAATTAATTGTCCCTCATATTTTGAAAAATGTAAATTGACAAAATATCAATAATTCATATAGCATTTATGAAATAACATTAATTCAGGAGTATTTTAAACTACTTTTTATACTTCAAAAGGTGAAGTATTCAATTATTTTCCAAAATTAGAAGGGCAAGTTAAAACAATATATAAAATTCAGGGGACGTTTATAAACGAATAAAAGAGAAAAGGAAAACACTATCTTCGAAATCTTTACATATACACTGAATAAACTATGGAAAAGGGCAAACGGCCTCTCTTCCCGTATCTTGGAAATTAGAATCCATCATTCCCATAGTAATCATAATTAGTGGAATAAGAGATCAGAAAAAGACCTCCATTAATGTACGAATATTATATATCTTTTCAAATATATATATAAAAGGCGACTCCAGTGCCAAAAAGTTCTCGTATTATGACAGGTTCGAAAAAAAGTTCAATCTCATATGTACGCAGTTTTACCCTGAATGAGAGGCCGTTTCCAAATATATATATATATATATAGCTATTAATGCAGTCATCACAAAGAATCAAAGATCAATGACTTAAAGAAAAATGGATATATAATAACTTTGCGCTTGTTATGCGTTGTTGTGGGTCTCACTGAATATTCTCTGGTTATGGAGTGCCAAAAGACAAACAGAAGTATATATTCTTATTGTTGACGGAAACTCTTATATTTTCTCCAAAATTTTCTTATAATTCCTCATATGATACTCTTAATTAACTTTATTTATTGAAAAATCAAACAGAAGTATTCTTATATATAGTTGACGAAAACTTTTTTAAGAAAAATCAATGGTAATTTGGCCTTTTTCAAAAAAAAAAAAGAAATAATAATTTCATAGATACACGTTAAAGAGAGGTTTTCGATACGTCATGTTATCAACATAAAAACTGCGTCTCACACTTTCCTTCGTGAAAATACAAAGCAAAACACAAAATCAATTCGGTAAAAACAGAGAATATTTTTGTGTTTATCTCAAAGAAACCCATGTGTTTACTTTGCCTTCTTCTTCTTGTTTTTTCCCTCCTCAAATCTTTTGCTATTCGATGTGTCTATTTTTACATTGAAGAAGACCATTAAATATTTCATAATAAAAGTCTGTTATATTGAGACCATTAAATATTTCATAATAAAAGTCTGTTATATTGTTATCTTATAATTTCTCATACAATCATACTGAACTTTATTGATTGACAAATCAAAGAGAAGTATTATTATCGTTGGGAAAAATTTTTCCCTTGCAGAAGTGAGATATGGGCATGTAAATCATTTTATTATAGAGAAAGGGTAGTGTCACTTTTTCTGTCACTTTTTTTATTATTTTCTACAGTGATTGTTTAACACGTAGAATCTACTAATATGATATATTGTTATTTAAATAAAAAAAATAAAATAGTGGAGTTATCATATCAAACAATAAATATAAAAAGTCAAAAAAAAAAAACAGAAAAAATCACACTAGCATTTCTATTCATTATATTAATAAGAACTTACCAACCTAAAACATTGCGAATTTCAAAAATGTAAAAGAATAATAGAATTTGAAGAAAGGGAAAGACGAGCATGCAGGGAATGAAATCCTACAAAACTTCAGTCAAGAAAGGAATAAAAGAAAAGGAGGAAACAAGTCAAATAACAATCGATATAAAAGGCAAAAGCGTGTATATTTTGTTTTTGGCATTACTTAAAATACTCGCATTAATTCTCTCGTATCTCAAATTAAGTTAGATAGTTTTTGTGTATAGAAGAACAAAATGGCCTACTGAAATCCGGTAACATTTCAAACTCATGAAAAAACAAGAACAAAATGGAAAGGGAACTTTTCTAGTATGTTAATATATCAGTAAGTTAAGTTTTATGTCTGTTAAATCTGTATAAAATAACGTAAAAGTTAAAAAGTACACATATCCAACAGTTAAAAAAATATGACCTACTGATACGCCAGACGTACTAGAGAATCTCCTAGAAAATAATTAAAAAACCCCATTTTTCAAGTGGTAGTAAGAGGAAACTGTTGACGGTGCAAATCGTTAACTCGGATTTTATCTCTCCGGGAACTCTTACACTGCAATTCTAACAAATTAAGTCAATAAAAAATACAGAAAATAAAGAAATTACACGACTTTATATGGTTTGGCAAAATATTATTGTCTACGTCTACTTGTGAATGCACTAAATCTCAAGAGTACATAAGATTTTTCTTTAGAGTAGGAAAGTGTGCGTGAAAAATTAAATGAGGAGTTCAGCCTTTATTTATAGGCTTTCTTCTGGATTCAGAGACTCTTATCCCTAATTTTTTGATGATGATCCCTTTATCTCCTCTAATTAGGGGATTTTACAGTTATATTTCCACATCTGAATATCTGAATTTAGGAGATTATTTTCATTGATCATCATCTGATATTCCTGTTTGAATTCAGATATCTGATGAGGTTTATCCTCTCCTGATTTGGCGGGATTGGATTTGAATATGATCCTCTAGTCTTTTCTTCTGATTCTGTAGACTTCTCGACGCAAAAACGTTCAAAGACTTCTAAGAACTTCTCGACTTGAATGTCTTATCTTTAAGAGTGCTCAACCTAAAGACATCTCATTAGCTGTCAGTTCTCGACATCAAGGATCAGCCTTGACTTCTAGAGCTCTCGACGCATGTTCTCAAGAAGATGGTTTAACTGCTCGACCATGGTGCAACAGAAACATAATCTGACTTCGGAGTTAGAGATAGATACTATCGAAATGACAAAACATAGAACCAAACAAAATTAATTAAAGAACTTAATAAAAAAATCCAAGCCCCCCCAAAAAAGTTAATTTATTTAAATAAACAACAAGGAAGGAGACAAGAACGAAGTTGGTCTATCGTTTATGTTTTATGTTATTCTTCCACCACTAAAGTGCGCACAATATAGAAGAGGTGCACTGTTTTGACTAGTTTTCAAACGTGCCAAACAGCCCAAGTAAAATACTTCACTTGCCAACTTTCTCTTTTTTACAGAAAAATAAAAAGTTACACTACAACAACTCTCAAGTTTAAGTGGAATTATAACATATTTTTTTATAAAAACTTTTATGAATAGTAAAATCTAGTCGTGATTATTTTAATATTCGTTATACTTTATACTTCAAAATTAGAAGTGATTATTGCAATAATTTTAATTTCTCTTATACGCTAAATTTTTTGTCATATAAAATTATGCTGTGTGTTAAAGTCTAAACTCACTTTTTATTTTTTTCCCTTTAATTAGGCCTATAAAGTTACAGTCCTTTCCTTTGGAAAATGTCTTTTTGCGTCCCCACACGCGCGAATTCTAAACCCCGCGAGTAAGTTCGTCTCTCTTCCTCAACACTCGCTTTACTTACCAACACTATAAATACCAACATCCCCTCAACCCTCGCTTCACCTCCCAAAAGAAAACAAAACAAACCCACCCAAAAAAAAAAAAAAACGTTTCAGATTCTTAATTTCTGGTCCTCAGCCAGCTCAGCTCGGCCCATTCTTCGCCGTCCGATTCGCCGCCGACGTCTTCTCAACCACCGCACGATCGAAGAGATGGACGTCCGCAACAGGCAATCGGCGAAGCCGGCCGGGCCCACCGTCCTGAAGGCGAAGAAGCTTGTCGACGTCGAAAGTGATCGGAATCCGAAGGTCTCCGACGCTCTCCCGATGCCTCTGTATTTAACGAACGTCACGTTTTTCACGCTCTTCTTCTCCGTCGTCTACTTCCTCCTCACGCGGTGGCGGGAGAAGATCCGCACATCCACGCCCCTCCACGTCCTCACCTTCTCCGAGATCTCTGCCCTTTTCGCCCTCCTCGCCTCCTTCATTTACCTACTCGGATTCTTCGGCATCGATTTCGTCCAGTCCTTGATCCTCCGTCCCTCCGCCGACGTCTGGGCCGCCGACGACGACGAAATGGTCGAAATCCTTAAAGACGACTCCCGCAAGGTCCCCTGCGGCGCCGCTCTCAATTGCTCGATTCCGCCGCCGAAGGTCGTCGACCCGGTGCCGGTGACGGTTTCGGTTTCGATTCCAGTGCCGGCGTTTGAGATGACTGAGGAGGACGAGGAGATTGTGAAATCCGTCGTCGCGGGGGCGACTCCGTCGTATTCCTTGGAGTCGAAGCTCGGGGATTGCCGGAGAGCGGCGGCGATAAGGCGGGAGGCGTTGCAGAGGACGACCGGGAAGTCTCTCGCCGGTCTTCCGTTAGAGGGATTCGACTACGATTCAATCTTGGGGCAGTGCTGCGAGATGCCGGTCGGGTACGTTCAGATTCCGGTGGGGATAGCCGGCCCTCTGTTGCTCGACGGGAGGGAGTATTCCGTTCCCATGGCGACCACCGAGGGTTGCTTGGTTGCCAGCACCAACCGGGGCTGCAAGGCTATTCACCTCTCCGGCGGAGCCAGCTCCGTTCTGATGAGGGACGGGATGACCAGAGCGCCTGTTGTGAGATTCTCCACCGCAAGAAGGGCTGCTGAATTGAAGTTCTTCTTGGAAGATACTGCCAATTTCGAGACCTTGGCCATGGTATTCAACAGGTTCGTCATTTCACGACTTTTGGAATTGACATGTGACTTGTGTGTTGAAATCTTTCTGTACTTTGACTGACAGAAATTGACCATTACGTCTTTTTCTGTTGAATTATCTACAGATCAAGCAGATTCGCGAGGTTACAGAGCATTAAGTGCGCAATTGCTGGGAAGAATCTTTACACGAGATTCTGTTGCGGTACCGGTGACGCCATGGGGATGAACATGATTTCCAAGGGTGTCCAGAACGTTCTGGATTTCCTCCAGAACGACTTCCCAGACATGGACGTGCTTGGAATCTCTGGAAACTTTTGCTCTGACAAGAAGCCCGCCGCGGTGAACTGGATTGAGGGACGGGGAAAGTCTGTGGTCTGTGAGGCGACGATCAAGGGAGACTTGGTGAGGAAGGTGCTTAAGACCAATGTGGAGGCCCTAGTGGAGCTCAACATGCTCAAGAATCTCACGGGCTCCGCTATGGCCGGTGCTCTCGGGGGCTTCAACGCCCATGCCAGCAACATCGTCTCCGCCGTCTACATAGCCACTGGGCAGGACCCCGCCCAAAACGTGGAGAGTTCTCACTGCATCACCATGATGGAGCCTGTCAACGACGGAAAGGATCTTCACATTTCCGTCACCATGCCATCCATTGAGGTCAAAATTAGTTTGTTCTATCAAACTCTCTCATTTTGTCTTTTTAAGTTATTTTACTATCTATCTAACTTAGGAACATGCACTGTAACTTCAAAATATTTAACAAATATCTTATGCCAATGTCACAAAATATTTATCTAACAAGTTTTTTGATTGTGTTTTGCAGGTCGGAACAGTTGGAGGTGGTACGCAGCTCGCATCGCAGGCGGCTTGCTTGAACCTGCTCGGAGTGAGAGGCGCGAACAGGGAGGAACCGGGATCGAACTCGAGGATGCTGGCGACCATTGTTTCTGGTGCTGTTCTCGCTGGCGAGCTCTCTCTCATGTCTGCTCTTGCTGCTGGACAGCTCGTTAAGAGCCATATGAAGTACAACAGATCCAGCAAGGATGTTTCCGCTGTTGCTTCTTCTTAAAGAGAATTATAAATTACATATTCCAATTCATAAAACGCCAAGGATATGAAAGATGCGGAAGCTCCATAGAATAATATTTTTACACGGACACTGAGAGAAAGGATCGGGACAGCGAAGAACACAAAACATCAATTAAGCCAGCCTAGGCCCAAGGGAAAAGAAAATTTACTGTTGTATTATTTTTTCTTTTTTTTTTTTTTTTTTTTCCTTTTATGTTCAATTAAGCTGCACTGTGTAAGAATTTCTCTGGAAAGTTGTGTAAAAAAATCATGATGGCAAACGTTTTGGTATCGCTTTCATCCATGTTGTGTGTTGGCCAGTAGTACATATTATTTAGTTACATTTTTTAGCTACAGTGATTTAAATATATATTTTAAGTTGAATTTGAGTTATATCTTAGGTTAAAGTTGTTATTTGAGTTTGTGTTTAAATGTGCATATTTAATTTATGATTTGAATTGATGATCTATTTGAATTTGTGTTTGAATGGGTCAAAATTTAAATTTATATTTAGATAGTATTTTAATAAAAACTCAAAAGTGATGAAAAATTTTAATAGGATATATGGATGAGATTTTATTCGTCTTTTCGTTGTGAACGCATAGAAAACAAAAATCATCTCAATCGGAATTAAAACGAAAAAATTATAGTGTTTTAAAGAATAGAAATGAGTTTAAGAACTTGAGTTGAATGAGAAATTTAAACTCAGATTTTAACTACAAACTTAAGTTAAAACTTGAATTTAAACTCAAGTTCAAACTCAAATTTTACAAAAAAAAAACATGAACTTGAATAAAGTTGTAACTTGAATTTAAACTTTTTTTGAATTTTGATAAAAAAAAAAAAAAAAAAACAAGCCATTTATCGTAAACTTCTGTTCTTAAAAGAACATGAATTATTAAATGGTTTTATTCAGATTTTAAATGTGATGTATTACTTTTGTGATGCACAAGAAAAGTAAACTCTCAAGGCTAACATTTGATGTTGGTCCAATCATGCAAAAATCTATCAACTTCTAAATTGTCTTTTTCGTGGGAGTTTGAAACTTTGAAGGTTTGAAATAACATTTGCATGGACTATTAGAGGCAGCCTTATGGAGAGAACTCTTTTTGTGGTCAAGAAAGATTACTGAGCAATCCTATTTTTTTCTTTATGAGATTAAAACTTTGTTATTCACCTAAAATGGGTTGTATTAAATAGGTAAATGAGACTGAATTTAGTGGGACTCATTTAGTACGAGCGGCGAGATTTAGCTTTATAGGAATGAGTACTATTTTTCATGAGGCTCATATGTACCCTGATCGGCCAAGTACGTCCCCTTGTGTCTTATAATTTTACTTGCATGTCCTACCAATAGAACTTTACAGTGTACATGATTTTGACGCGCCCACAGATGAAATTGGGGCCCCTTGATTATTAGAGTTACCTAAAAATTATCGCATGATATTTTGTAATTATTCTTCAATGGGGTCTTTATGTCATGAATCAATACTCGCATCATTGTGTACGAATTTTTGCATCAATTTTCACGCTTAAATCTCACGCACACTCGTACCAGTTGTACGGTCTGTTAATTATTATATATAGGTATCTATATAATTCTCACATGATATTCTATAATTTTCCAGTCCTTAATTATGTCAAGCTTTCTAAGGTAGGACTAGTACATCTTTCTTGACGTTAGATTTGATAATAATCTCGTCAATACAAGTAAGTATACAAAAGTGACAAAAACTACCATAAATTTGACGATTTAAAATAAAATCTTAAAATCCTACTAACAGAGAATATTTTTTTAGTACTTACAATAAAAATCTTATTATATCAGTTGGCATTCACATCATATTCGTAAACTCTATTTTTTTTTTTTCCTAAAATGAGCAAACATAATATTATTGTCGTAATGGTTAGTTCTCGCTCATCATTTTGTTGTTTGTGGAGCATATTGTTAATTATCATATGGGTACCTACATATATTTTCACATGATATGTTGTAATTTCTCTTACATGAGAGTCCTTTTGTCAATTGTTTATTCACATTATGATGTGTGAACTTTATATAATTTTTGTAATACTTGTATTTCACGCTCTCCCTTGTCAAATGTGGAGCCTATAAAATTGTTACACAGGTTCCTATACACATTATCATGTGATACAATGTGGTTGTTGAACTACTAGCTAGTGATGTGACACCCTAGTGTTATTTAACACTTTTCGTATCTTAGTCTATTTAATAATTTTGTAAACCTAAAGTGTTTGTTTTGTGCCAATATTTTCCATAGCTTTTATGCCATGATCGGATTGTTGTTATGCCCGGCTAATTCCTTTATTTACTTATTTGCAGAAGTATACGTGTAACTTTATTTTTTCTCGTTTAATGTAAATTTGACTACATTAATATTCGAAAGATCATTTCTATCTGTTGGGTGAACTTTCACACAAAGCTGAGAGGAATAGGTCCCTGTTTGGAAACCCAACAACTTCAGCCTATTTGGTTAGGCATTTATAATGGGAAGGGCCTGAAAGATTGAGATGTTAACTTGTTATAGATTAGTGGCCACATATATATATATATATATAGAGAGAGAGAGAGAGAGAGTGTGACGAAGTCAGAAAATTTTGTTAGGAGGGGCTAATTTGAGTTAAGTGTTTTTAATTAATTTTCAAATTGTGTCAATGAAAATTTATAGTCCTAAGACTAACAAGGACTTTTTGCATTTACACACCTCGAACTTAATCACGGATGCTAAGATCATACTCATAAATTGAAGTTTACAACCGAAAATTAGTTAGCAGTTTTCAAAGAAGTGAAATCCAGTACATGATTTCGTACTAGTGTCATTTTTACCCATAAGAATTGGAGAGTCTTCTAACTTTATTTTGAAATACCTTCGCATAATTATTCAATCAAATTGCTACTTAAATAGTAAAGGAAAAATAATTCTCATTTAATAATTTATTCTTATTTTTATTTAGACAAACGAACATGTCAACATAATGAGTGTATTCTATTTATCTAATCAAATCCTGTTCTCAAAATAACAACATTAATACTCAAATTCCTTAAAAAATTCAACAATGGATTACGTACTACAAATAAGTTAATCAAATAGAAAGAGCTACAAAAATAAGTGAGAAAAAATAAACATAAAAGTAAGAAAAGAAGATTATCAATTAAAAAAAAAGGCAAGCATTCAAGATTTTTGTGATTATATATTGCATTTTAAAAATTTTAGGGGTGTAAATTAGATTATTATTTTTTAGGGGGCGCGTTGTCTAATTTATTGTAGAGAGAATATAGTATATTGTATATATACTTATGTGCATATAGTGGTTAAAAAAACACAACAACAAGTTGAGAGAGGGCTTAAGCCCCCCCCCTCGTCCTATGCTCCCTTCGTTCCTGTATAGAAATAATGTTAGAGACACTAATTTTAGTCTCAGTTTGTGTATCAATTTATAAGCTGTCACAACTCTATTGGTTGATGCAATCATTTTTTTTTGTTAATAAATCTTTTAAACACCTACTAATAGAATTATAACACTCATGAGTAGGAATTAATATTAGTGTGTCTAGCATGATTCCCCCCATATACATATTCCACGATTACATTTTTGTGTTGTTATTCACCAATAGTTCATGAACCGTCATCGTACATTAGGAGTTTGTTCAGTTCGTCGATTTAAATTTTTAATTTAAATTGAGATGTGATTTTATCTGAGAGCTTTCAACTGTAATAAAAAAAAGTTAAATGTGACTTTTTGTAAGAACTTTTAACTGTAATAAAATTAAAATTAAAAACTAAAATCGGTGAAATGAACGAGGCCTAAGTTGCCTTAGAGTTTTCAGATTCAATCACGTGCTACCTCAGTCTTTCTGCTTTTACACCGTCGGTAATCCTTCCGTCAAAAATTGTTCTAAATATTTTAAAAGGGGCCATGTCATTACATGATGGTGGCTTTGAAAGCATGAAACGTTTTAGGTCATTTTCTTTAGAAAAATGAAAAAAAAAAAAAAAAAAGTTCTTGAAATTAAAGTATCCAAAAACGACCACCCAAAAAAAAAACGACTTTTGTCAGTGGGTCGGACCCTACACACATGATGATTCAGCAGATCCGATTGTACAAAGCACATATAAGCCTAGTAAATTACCATAGTACAACATCAACATCTTTATTTATGACAGTGGAACCAACGACATAAATAAAAATTGCCATAGTGTGTTCTGCCAAACGAAATGAAGAACCAACTTAAGATTGTGCGTCTATTACAAGACCTATTTGTGAAATAATCCTACATTTTAATGTTAATATCAAGACAATGTTATGCCAATACTTTAAAAAAAAAAAAAAAAAAAAAAAATCTTCTTGCTTCGTTCCCTTTGGTTTAAAAATGTTCTTCCCGATAGTTAACGTCGATCGGCTAGCTTTCTTGAGTGATACTTTTATGCAGCCATGCCTATAAATGGCAAATAAATAAATAAATAAATAAATAAAGAGTAACACTTTGACCCGCTCTTGGACGAAGGGTAGGTAGCTACAAGTACATATACATACATATGCATGTACACACACACACACACACACACATATATATATATATATATATATATATATATCTTGAACTTCGATGATTTTATCTTTATGAGCGGAAATTCTACAATAGATTGTCCCGAGCTATTACATGGGCGATGGAGCACAATCATATGTTATGAAGTGAGCGTAATAGTATTGTCCAAAAAAATTTCTATATTATGCATTGTTTGATTTAAATCTTAGATCAGGGTCAATGACCCTAATGAATTTATGAGCTTGCTCCTGATGTAGAGAATACATATTTTATCCGGTTTAATGCGGCTCTCATGTAATAGCAGCTTTCATATACTTTGCATGAGTCTATCCATGCATTATTCAAAATTACGAGACTGGTCCTAATTAACAAGTGAATGGACTAAAGATACTTTGAGGAGGGATTATATATATATATATATATATATATATATAACTTGGACACAGATGGAAACCTGAAATAAATGGATATTGGATGGCAGTTTTGTACGTTTCCAATAGCAGAAACAATAAAGTTACGTATTATTATTTTTATTGAA